CTGGGTCCGGTCTCGGTCTCTGGGTCGGGTCTCGGTCTCTGGGTCGGGTCTCGGTCTCTGGGTCCGGTCTCGGTCTCTGGGTCCGGTCTCGGTCTCTGGGTCCGGTCTCGGTCTCTGGGTCCGGTCTCGGTCTCTGGGTCCGGTCTCGGCCTCTGGGTCTGGTCTCGGTCTCTGGGTCTGGTCTCGGTCTCTGGGTCTGGTCTCGGTCTCTGGGTCCGGTCTCGGTCTCTGGGTCCGGTCTCGGTCTCTGGGTCCGGTCTCGGTCTCTGGGTCTGGTCTCGGTCTCTGGGTCTGGTCTCGGTCTCTGGGTCCGGTCTCGGTCTCTGGGTCCGGTCTCGGTCTCTGGGTCCGGTCTCGGTCTCTGGGTCCGGTCTCAGTCTCTGGGTCTGGTCTCGGTCTCTGGGTCTGGTCTCGGTCTCTGGGTCTGGTCTCGGTCTCTGGGTCCGGTCTCGGTCTCTGGGTCCGGTCTCGGTCTCTGGGTCCGGTCTCGGCCTCTGGGTCCGGTCTCGGTCTCTGGGTCTGGTCTCGGTCTCTGGGTCTGGTCTCGGTCTCTGGGTCCGGTCTCGGTCTCTGGGTCCGGTCTCGGTCTCTGGGTCCGGTCTCGGTCTCTGGGTCCGGTCTCGGTCTCTGGGTCCGGTCTCGGTCTCTGGGTCCGGTCTCGGTCTCTGGGTGCGGTCTCGGTCTCTGGGTCCGGTCTCGGTCTCTGGGTCCGGTCTCGGTCTCTGGGTCTGGTCTCGGTCTCTGGGTCTGGTCTCGGTCTCTGGGTCTGGTCTCGGTCTCTGGGTCTGGTCTGTCGGTCTCTGGGTCTCGGTCTCTGTCTCGGTCTCTGGGTCCAGTCTCGGTCTCTGGGTCTGGTCTCGGTCTCTGGGTCCGGTCTCGGTCTCTGGGTCTGGTCTCGGTCTCTGGGTCCGGTCTCGGTCTCTGGGTCTGGTCTCGGTCTCTGGGTCTGGTCTCGGTCTCTGGGTCAGGTCTCGGTCTCTGGGTCCAGTCTCGGTCTCTGGGTCTGGTCTCGGTCTCTGGGTCTGGTCTCGGTCTCTGGATCTGGTCTCGGTCTCAGGGTCCAGTCTCGGTCTCTGGGTCCGGTCTCTGGGTCCGGTCTGGGTCTGGTCTCAGTCTCTGGGTCCAGTCTCGGTCTCTGGGTCCGGTCTCGGTCTCTGGGTCCAGTCTCGGTCTCTGGGTCTGGTCTCAGTCTCTGGGTCTGGTCTCGGTCTCTGGGTCTGGTCTCGGTCTCTGGGTCTGGTCTCGGTCTCTGGGTCCGGTCTCGGTCTCTGGGTCCGGTCTCGGTCTCTGGGTCTGGTCTCGGTCTCTGGGTCTGGTCTCGGTCTCTGGGTCTGGTCTCGGTCTCTGGGTCTGGTCTCGGTCTCTGGGTCGGGTCTCGGTCTCTGGGTCCGGTCTCGGTCTCTGGGTCCGGTCTCGGTCTCTGGGTCTGGTCTCGGTCTCTGGGTCTGGTCTCGGTCTCTGGGTCCGGTCTCGGTCTCTGGGTCCGGTCTCGGTCTCTGGGTCCGGTCTCGGTCTCTGGGTCGGTCTCGGTCTCTGGGTCGGGTCTCGGTCTCTGGGTCGGGTCTCGGTCTCTGGGTCCGGTCTCGGTCTCTGGTCTCTCGGTCTCTGGTCTCGGTCTCTGGGTCCGGTCTCGGTCTCTGGGTCCGGTCTCGGCCTCTGGGTCCGGTCTCGGTCTCTGGGTCTGGTCTCGGTCTCTGGGTCTGGTCTCGGTCTCTGGGTCTGGTCTCGGTCTCTGGGTCCGGTCTCGGTCTCTGGGTCCGGTCTCGGTCTCTGGGTCCGGTCTCGGTCTCTGGGTCCGGTCTCGGTCTCGGGTCTCTCGGTCCTGGGTCTGTCTCGGTCTCTGGGTCTGGTCTCGGTCTCTGGGTCTGGTCTCGGTCTCTGGGTCCGGTCTCGGTCTCTGGGTCTCGGTCTCTGGTCGTCGGTCTTGGGTCCGGTCTCGGTCTCTGGGTCCGGTCTCTCGGTCTGGTCTGGTCCGGTCTCGGTCTCTGGGTCTCTGGGTCCGGTCTCGGTCTCTGGGTCCGGTCTCGGTCTCTGGGTCCGGTCTCGGTCTCTGGGTCTGGTCTCGGTCTCTGGGTCTGGTCTCGGTCTCTGGGTCTGGTCTCGGTCTCTGGGTCTGGTCTCGGTCTCTGGGTCTGGTCTCGGTCTCTGGGTCTGGTCTCGGTCTCTGGGTCTGGTCTCGGTCTCTGGGTCTGGTCTCGGTCTCTGGGTCCGGTCTCGGTCTCTGGGTCCGGTCTCGGTCTCTGGGTCCGGTCTCGGTCTCTGGGTCTGGTCTCGGTCTCTGGGTCCAGTATTAATCGTCTGAAGGACACAGATCATTGATTATTTGTTCATTGATCAGATTCTGGTTTTGCCTCCACAGCTTTTCTACCGACGACTTCCTGTGTCCTCTGTCGCTACGGGTTACACATTATATATACTCTACACTATACTCCATACTATACTCTATATACTGTAGTATACTATACTATATGCTATATACTATATACTATACTCTATACTATACGATACTCTATATACTGTAGTATATTATACTATATGCTATATACTATATACTATACTCTATACTATACAATACTCTATATACTGTAGTATACCATACTATATACTATACTATTGCGTCTGAACCTGTGACATCACAGGCGTCTCAACCTGTGACATCCCAGGCGTCTGAACCGTTTGGTAAAAACTATAAAAACAAATACATAGATTTCTTTTGTCTCTGTCGTGAACAGATTTGTTTTGTTTGTATTTGTGTTTTTGTAATAGTTGTGATCCCTCAGACCTCTGAAGCTAAGCAGGGCAGGGCCTGGTTAGTACTGTGATGGGAGACCTCTGAACAGCAGGTGCCACAGTGGGGCAGCTGTGGCTGTAAAGTGCCAAACTGTGGTTGTGTCCTTAGGCAAGACACTTTCCCCACATTAGAATGAGTCTGGTGTGTGTGTGTGAATGGTTGGTGGTGGTGGGAGGGGCCCATGGCACAGACTGTTTGTCTCACTGCTGTCAGTGTGCCCCAGGGCAGCTGTGGCTACAGTAGTAGTTTATCACACCGTGTTTGGAGAGAGAGGAGACTTTGAGCGTCTGAAAGAACTATTATTTTTATTATTATTATTATAAACACTGGTTGTTTAGTACCTTGTCTTCTGAGGACAACAGTGTGTGTCAAACTGTGGGCCGGGGGTCGTCAGTGTTTGGTGCCTTTGGGAATGATCCATTGTGAGTCTCCAGACAGGCCCGTGTGCTGCAAGAAGACACGTACCCTGTTGTCCGGACTGTAATCTGCTCCTGTTTCTACTTCTTTGAACCAGCAGCTCGTAAAGAGTCGGGCTGTTGTTGGAGCGGAGAGTTTATGGACCTTTTATTTTGACTCTGGTTTATGTCAGAATAGAAGACGGTGACGTGTCTTTACTTCACTGTGTTTCTGCATCACTGCACACTGATCTCTCACTGATCTCACACTGATCTCACACTGATCTCTCACTGATCTCACACTGATCTCTCACTGATCTCTCACTGATCTCACACTGATCTCACACTGATCTCTCACTGATCTCACACTGATCTCACACTGATCTCTCACTGATCTCACACTGATCTCTCACTGATCTCACACTGATCTCTCACTGATCTCTCACTGATCTCACACTGATCTCACACTGATCTCTCACTGATCTCACACTGATCTCACACTGATCTCTCACTGATCTCACACTGATCTCTCACTGATCTCACACTGATCTCTCACTGATCTCACACTGATCTCTCACTGATCTCACACTGATCTCTCACTGATCTCTCACTGATCTCACACTGATCTCACACTGATCTCTCACTGATCTCACACTGATCTCTCACTGATCTCACACTGATCTCTCACTGATCTCTCACTGATCTCTCACTGATCTCACATGAAGTTCATTTCCTTCTGTGTCGCTGCCTCAGATTTCTGATTCAAATCAGAGGATGAACAGAAACAGAGAATGTTGTGGAGGTTCTGAAGGACAGAGTCTGAGACCTGTCTCTCTCTCTCACATCACCCCTAACCCGTCTCTCTCTCTCTCTCTCTGTTTCTCTCTCTCACATCACCCCTAACCCGTCTCTCTCTCTCTCTCTCTGTTTCTCTCTCTCACATCACCCCTAACCCGTCTCTCTCTCTCTCTCTCTGTTTCTCTCTCTCACATCACCCCTAACCCGTCTCTCTCTCTCTCTCTCTGTTTCTCTCTCTCACATCACCCCTAACCCGTCTCTCTCTCTCTCTCTCTGTCTCTCTCTCTCACATCACCCCTAACCCGTCTCTCTCTCTCTCTCTCTGTTTCTCTCTCTCACATCACCCCTAACCCGTCTCTCTCTCTCTCTCTCTGTCTCTCTCTCTCACATCACCCCTAACCCGTCTCTCCCTCTCTCTCTGTTTCTCTCTCTCACATCACCCCTAACCCGTCTCTCCCTCTCTCTCTCTGTCTCTCTCTCTCACATCACCCCTAACCCGTCTCTCTCTCTCTGTCTCTCTCTCTCTCACATCACCCCTAACCCGTCTCTCTCTCTCTCTCTCTGTCTCTCTCTCTCACATCACCCCTAACCCGTCTCTCTCTCTCTCTCTCTGTCTCTCTCTCTCACATCACCCCTAACCCGTCTCTCCCTCTCTCTCTGTTTCTCTCTCTCACATCACCCCTAACCCGTCTCTCCCTCTCTCTCTGTCTCTCTCTCTCACATCACCCCTAACCCGTCTCTCTCTCTCTCTCTCTGTTTCTCTCTCTCACATCACCCCTAACCCGTCTCTCTCTCTCTCTCTCTGTCTCTCTCTCTCACATCACCCCTAACCCGTCTCTCCCTCTCTCTCTGTTTCTCTCTCTCACATCACCCCTAACCCGTCTCTCTCTCTCTCTCTCTGTTTCTCTCTCTCACATCACCCCTAACCCGTCTCTCTCTCTCTGTCTGCAGTGATGGCCTCCTCGGACCCCCAGAGCGATAGACTCCTCCCCTTGCTCCGCCCCTAACCTGTCGTCATGTACAGTGTGGAGGACCTGCTGATCTCTCATGGATACAAACTGCCTAAGAGCGGCCCCGCCTCCGCACCGCCGTTCGAGCGCCGGGCGCCAGAGTGTCCACGCTCAGACCCGGTGGATGCCAGGGCGGGGCGCGGCGCTCTGAACGGGTACGAGGCCGAGCGCGCCGCCTCCTCCTCCCTCAGCGGCCTCTACAGCAGACAGGCCCTGGTCAAGGCCTACCCCCCCGAGAGCGAGGGCCAGGACCGCATCCTCCGCCGCAAAGACATGGTTCTGCAGGACGCCGCGCCCGTGGTGGAGTCGCTCGCCATCGACAGTGGGTGAGTGCCATGGGTCGTTAAAGCACATGTGATGATAAAGTGGAGGATACGACACAACATGAGAAACTGACACTTCCTGCTTTGAGGTGATGTCACATCCGTTCAAACGGCTGGATTTATGATTCTGAGCTCAGAGCGAGAATCTGTAAATACTATAAATACTATAAATACTGTAAATACTATAAATACTATAAACACTGTAAATACTATAAACACTGTAAATACTATAAATACTGTAAATACTATAAATACTATAAATACTATAAACACTGTAAATACTATAAATCCTATAAATACTATAAATACTGTAAATACTATAAATACTATAAACACTGTAAATTCTATAAATACTATAAACACTGTAAATACTATAAACACTGTAAATACTATAAATACTGTAAATACTATAAATACTATAAACACTGTAAATTCTATAAATACTATAAACACTGTAAATACTATAAACACTGTAAATACTGTAAATACTATAAATACTATAAATACTATAAACACTGTAAATACTATAAATACTGTAAATACTATAAATACTATAAACACTGTAAATACTATAAATACTGTCATTTTCCAAAACAAACAGTTTGTTGAACATTGATCCTTTTTGGAAACATGTAAATGAGCTCTGCCAAAGTGACCTTCAGACCTGCAGCTCTCTGAGACACCAGGGGAGACACCAGGGGAGACACCAGGGGAGACACCAGGGGAGACACCAGGGGAGACACCAGGGGAGACACCGGGGAGACACCGGGGGAGACACCAGGGGAGACACCAGGGGAGACACCGGGGAGACACCGGGGGAGACACCAGGGGAGACACCAGGGGAGACACCAGGGAGACACCAGGGGAGACACCAGGGGAGACACCAGGGGAGACACCGGGGAGACACCGGGGAGACACCAGGGGAGACACCAGGGGAGACACCGGGGAGACACCGGGGGAGACACCAGGGGAGACACCAGGGGAGACACCAGGGAGACACCAGGGAGGACACCAGGGGAGACACCAGGGGAGACACCAGGGGGGACACCAGGGGAGACACCAGGGGGGACACCAGGGGAGACACCAGGGGAGACACCAGGGGAGACACCAGGGAGGACACCAGGGGAGACACCAGGGGGGACACCAGGGGAGACACCAGGGGAGACACCTGGGAGGACACCAGGGGAGACACCAGGGAGGACACCAGGGGAGACACCAGGGAGGACACCAGGGGGGACACCAGGGGAGACACCAGGGAGGACACCAGGGGGACACCAGGGGGACACTACTACTAAGTGAAAAAGTCTCTAATCTTCCCACATTATTCCAGTGATATCTGCACCAACTACATCAAAGGTACACAGAATAGTGGCTCACAGGGATCTCTCTCGTATGAATCAAAGCTTCAGTAAATTCAGCATGTTGTGCTAAACATAATATCTTTTTTTCCCCAAAGTTATGAACCTGAGCTTTAATTAAATAGATCTGAATGGGAACCAGTGAGATGAAAACGTAGATACAAAGGTACATTGTACGTTTACGTCCTTAATAAAGTATTTGGCCCTCGCCCAACGGCTGCTGCTCTCATACAGCGGCCGCCATCTTGAATCCTGCCTTTACCTTCATCCTTTATAGTAGTAGTAGTAGTAGCAGTAGTAGCAGTAGTAGTAATCGTAGTAGTAGCAGTAGTAGCAGTAGTAGTAGTAATCGTAGTAGTAGCAGTAGCAGTTGTGGTAGTAGCAGTAGTAGTAGTAGTAGTAGTAGTAGCAGCAGCAGCAGTAGTAGTAGTAGCAGTAGTAGTAGCAGCAGCAGTAGTAGTAGTAGTAGTAGTAGTAGTAGTAGTAGTAGCAGTAGTAGTAGTAGTAGTAGTAGTAGCAGTAGCAGCAGCAGTAGTAGTAGTAGCAGTAGCAGTGGTAGTAGTAATAGTATTAGTAGTAGTAG